TCATCCACCCATTCACACACACATTCACACACAGGTGATGGCAAGCTACATTGTAGCCACAGCCACCCTGGGGCGCACTGACAGAGGCGAGGCTGCCGAACACTGGCGCCACCGGGCCCTCTGACCAGAAAAGTTATAGAAAAGTAGAAAAGTAGAAATAAATAGAAAAGTTTATCTAAAAATTAAGTCACTGCCAATGAGATTGCTTGGTGGATCAAAATCTGACCTGCATTTATCATTCCATTAATTTTGACAGGATCCCCAACACCATTTACTGAAATGCAGTACCAAACCATCTTCTATAGATAGCTGCAGACACTCAGTGATGTACCTCTCTCCTAACCTCCTCGGTACATATTGATAACAATTTAGAATAAAAATATTACATTTGGATGCATCCCTCCATAAGACTTTTAGACACTGATTTCCAGTCCAGTTCTTGTGTGACTTGACATGCCTCAGCCTTTTCTCCCTGTATCTCATCCTTAAGAAAGCCTTCTTAATAGCCACTCTAACACTAAGACCATTTCTGATTAGACTGAAATAGATGGATCAACTCAAGGGCCAGATGCGTTTCTCAGGTCCTGTGTCACATCTTTGTTGGATTTTTTTCCCCCAATTTGTTAAGGACACACGTTTCAGATACAGTGCAACTGTTGTAGATCATTTTTCTTTAAGCTGACCACTTCTTTTGTCATCTATTTGTCCAATTTCCCCCTTTTTTTTAAGGACACACTGCAAACCATGCCAAGTTTTCAGCTAATGACTCCTTTTCAGTGCTTGAATGATTTTAATATGACTAAAAAAAAGCAGACAATGTAAAAAAAAAAGCTAAAAAAACCCCAAAAAACCTCACACTTTGATAGACCTCAAGAACACCTGGAGAACTATTGCTCAAAACCACTTTAACGAATTACAAGAAAATCTATTTCCTTGAAAGTAAAACAATTTTAAAAAAGAAAAGGGGGGTGACTTGAAACTTTTGCACAGTACTATATTTGCGAAAGTAAAAATTACATTTTACTGAATTCTGTACACAGTCCTGCTTTGGTAATAATGCCGCAGGCATGATGCTTGTTGCCTAAAAACCACTGACTCCTGCTGCTATTAAAAGGAACTAGCTTTATGTCCATCAGTGGCGTAACTGTGCTCAGTTATGATTTCAATTCATCAACTATGGCATTGTAATAGTGGTAGCAGATTTCAGGAGTTTACACTGCTTTACTCTAACAAGCAACATTTTGGCCCAGATAACTCAGCACAGAAGTCAGTAGTGATTACTGACATCACTTAAGTAAAAGCTTTTTAGGCCAATAAAAAAAAGTGTCCCCATTTATTGCCACACTTAGGGTCTATGTGGCAATCTAGTAGTGCTCTAGTGCTATTTTTTATAAGTAGGTTGTTTCAAGCTTGTAAACATAGATTTAACAATGCATCTAAAACTGACTTTGGGCAATGCAGCTAAAGACTATGTCATAACCCAAAATATTGACTGTATGTTCAAAAGCAGGTTTAATGATACCAAAACCTGCAGAATCACCCAATCAAATTATTTTGAAATTAAAAATATAAATTTACTTCCCAAATGTAAATTAAACATTAAATTGACATTCTGCCAATGTAATAACTAGATATTAAAATGACAAATTAGCTTGAAGAGCACGAGTTCAAATGAATAATTTATCTGTACAAACACTGCATACTCAAGTCTCTATGAAAGAATTATAATTGTGTTGAACAGCTTTGCTTTAAAAAGGCTGTCTATATAATGAAACTCTGGATCACTGCTCTTTGTGTGAAAGCAGTCAATTATTAATATGCCAGTCATGAATGTGAACTTGACTGATAACTGGGTTTAATGCAATGCTACATAAAGAGTTGGGAAATAGGTCATGCAGTAGAGGGGGAAAAGTAAGTTGTGTGCTGGGTCGGGAGCCATAAATGGCATCTCAATGTAAGACAATTAATTAAAGAATTCCAGACGCTTTTCTTTGCAAGCTCCTTTGACTACGATGACCTGGATGACTGAGAACCTTCACAGACAATGTAAGACAATGTTCTTCAAACTGTATGGTTGTGTCGGAAAAAAAACAATTCTTATAATGTGAAAGTCAAGTACTTATCATTTTAACCCTCAAACACAGACCTCGGATGGCCATTGAACTTCTATAAGCAATGTATGTTTGTAATCCTACATTGCTTGCATCTTTCACAGCACACATTTTCAACCTTAAAACTTCACATTTAACATGAAAAATGTGAAATTTATAGGAAATGTGCATTGAGTTTCCTACAAAGTCAGTGGGAAATATATAGCAGTCATATATAAAACATTGTTCTGCGCTTGAAAGAAGTGAAGAATCATCTCTTTTTAGCATTCACAGCCTCACAGACCTTTTATCCAAAGACTTCAAACCTGGATTGATCTGTCCATTCTCTCCATACCACTTTTTTTCTTCTTTTTTTTAACCATTTATAAGCAGGCGGTTGAGGACCACTGAACCATTTGTTTCTCAAAAAACACCTGCTTCTCAAAACCCTTTCAGCTCTGCCACAAGGGTTTTTCAAAAAGGCTTTTCGAATTAGCAGTTAGCCTTTTAACATAAAAACTTGCATTTGGTAACAGAATGTGCCACTTAAATACGAGAATGACAGCTGCCAAAAAGGGCCCTGTAACACATGATGTAACCCAGCGGTCCCCAACCTTTTTTGCGCCACGGACCGGTTTATGTCTGACAATATTTTCATGGACCGGCCTTTAAGGTGTCGCGGATAAATACAACAAAATAAAACTAGTACCGGTACCGAAAAAAAAAGATTTACTCATAACACACATGAAAAGACCAAGGAAAACCGAGTTAACGATAAAAACGATAACAAAATAACGCTGAAAACCGATAAAAACCCTGAAAACCATACATTTCACACCTGAGCCTCAACTCTCGCGGCCCGGTACCAAACGACTCACGGATCGGTACCGGTCCGAGGCCTGGGGGTTGGGGACCGCTGATGTAACCCATCACTGATTCATAAAAATTATTCTAATAAACTTTAATTGACATAAGATGTTGTCAATTCAAAACTAATACCAAATGATCCTAGAAGTGTATATTTGAGTGTCTATAACTGACCTGAAAAGTTGAGACGACGAATATGCTTCAGCAGATGAGTGCCATTTATGGGGTCCATTTTAGCGCAGAGACCAACCTTGCCCGGGCACAGCTCCTTGTGCATGTTGTGCAAGGCATGAGCCATTGCATAGACGGCATCAATAACAAACTGTACCTTTCCTTCCTGCTCATATTGCGAGTCCTTTCCGATTCGCTCCTGATCTGAAAGACATAGACAGATGCATGTGTGTGGTTTTATAAGTATTAATTGGTTAAAAGAATTCATGAAATAATTCAAATCATGGTAAGTGATATATGTAATGATCTGCAGTCATTCATTTGGTTTGGTCACCATGTCAAGGACAAGGCTGAGTCCAGTATTAGTATCCATGTAGTCAAGCAATCATGTTTGAGACAGAAAAAGATTTTACAAGTGGATTTAAACGACTCAATCAGGCAAAAAATCTGTAGCTCTAAATAAATACAATTTTCTTAATTGCATAATGTGGCTGATAAAGGCATGAGTGGTTTCCATGAGTGGATCCAGCTTAAAGAATTATCTACTTGTGAGTTTGTCTCTGACACTTGTTTAAAGAAGGCTGATGATAAAGTTGCATATTCAGTGCCTGTTCTAGACAATTAATATGTCTAGAATTATAGCAAAAAAAAAAAAAAAATCCATCTTGAAACTAATTTATAAAGTAACTTGATGAAGATACTACTGATGTGTGCCAATAGTCAGGAAAACGTATCTTCTCAACACTTGTCTTCTGTGTCATCCCCACTCTGGATGGCAGCTTTTAGATAAGACAATTGTGTTCACGCTACTTGGAATGAGCTAAACCTTTTAAACGAAGGGTGTGGCATCAGTCCAAAAGACAGAAGAAAATGCATTGCTCCTCAGTGAGTCTTATTTTTTATGTACTGAATGGTGTTGCCTCTTGCAATTAGCTAGAAAGTAAATATCTGGATCACTGCAGAGGACCAAATCAATTCTAATATCTGGAGTGCAAGGTCTTCTCCTCTGGGAAATCTCATCTGTTAAAAATGAAGAGTCTTTCTTATATCTTCTGAAGGAGTAGTAGAGTTCCCTCTGTGTGATTTTCATAAGCATTATGTTTTGGGCCTGCATGTCTATTCTACAAATTTTAAAAATATGCCTCATGCTATTTTTCATTAGTTGCTTTACACAGTTCTTCCAATTTGATCACTTTTTTGTATTCCTTACCTTCTTGACTGAGTGTCCAACTGTGAATTCAGTATTTATTGCCTGGTTCAATTTAGAAGACCCAAAGAAGCAGGAAATAGACACATCCATTCACAGGACAGGGATAATCCCCTTATGGGCTCAATGTAATAACTCGTGATAGGAGTTTATTAATCCTGGCTCAGGTTGTTCCAGAGGTTTTTGTGATTGTTAATTGCTGTGAGGAGGTGGGGTCTAAGGAGATACAACGTGCCAATCCTAACTTCGGCTGTCTGCTCACATGCCTGAAGTCTTAAAGCTGTTTCTATGTAAATATCCTGTATGTGCATTAGCCATTATTAAAAGCAGGTGTGTTCAATTAAGATTTACACTAGACTAATTACTAGGGATAAGCTAATGATAGAGCTGCATAGAATTCAATTAGGCTTTGCAAGTTAATAAGCACACAGCAGGGAATGAGCTGCTGATACTCACACAATAATTGCCATACTGTTGGTTGAAAAAAATACTTGATGCTATAGAGCTTCTTAACTTACTTCCATATTTTAGTATATTTCAGTAAGTAATTTGGTTAAATTCTAGGTTAATGCATTAGTAAACTAGAGTCTTTTTAAACATGACAAAAAGTAAGTTAAACCAATTTTGCCACAGGACAGAGAGTAACTAAATCAAAACCTAAGCCATGCCAAAACCTGACTCTATTTAAAAGTAGAGTTTACTGTAACGCAGTGAATGATTTTCAAAAACAAAAATGGACAGACCTGCATTATACTAAACACCTCTTAATCTTTGTTAAAATCACCTCAAAATTGTGACTTTAACTTGTTGTACAAATTTCAGTTAGTTTTTCTACTGAGTTTCTTAAACATGAAAAATAACAATGTTTTTATATAAAACATTGCCATTGGTTGAAAATTCCACAGTTGGTGCCTCCCCTTCATATAATTGTTCAATTAAAAACAAGAAAGACATTATACTGTCAGAACCAATGTGAACTAATGAACTACAAATGAGCAATATCAATATTAAAAGCCACCTTAACAAACCTCAACAATATACAGGCTAGAACTGTTTTTTGTGACTATGTGGTTATCTGATATTTTTGGACATGCCAATATACAGCTTTCACAAGTAAACTTTTTCCTAAACATTATCATGCAACAACTATCCTCTTGAGGTGCAAGCTATTTTCGGCAGCTACTTCAATCTAAGAGAGAGATAGCCTCCAAATCAGCAAAGGTCTCCTTCTGTTAGCCATCTTTCATTTGCTAGATCTCCAGCTCCTCACTGCAGACCAGAGGGGTTTTAAGTCTCAGATTATCTCATGAGCTTTTGAAAATGCATGAATTATTGTTGGAGGTTACGGCTCAGTAATTAAGGGCCACAGGGCCTTGATTGGACAGAGATTGTCACAGTTTGGCCGCCGTGCTTATGCCGTGGGGAATCCTGTGAGCCAGAGTGGGTGTGAGAGCGTTATTTCTCTCTCAGTCTTGGCAGGCCACCCACACTAACTTTGTATTGTCTCTTCTCCATAAGACAGTTTCCCTTTTTCCTTCTGTCTCTCTTTGTAGCTAACTCCTCATTGGCATTTTGGCACTCTCGCACAACTTTTCCAAGCTGGCGTTTTGCTTTCAGAAAAATCCTTTTAGATTAAGCAAAGCAGAAGCTGAGTGTGGGTGTCTTCCACTGAGGTGAAACACAAGACATTATGTGACAGACAGTGTGGGCACAAAACCTTTGACCTATTTTTCAGCTTACGACCGGCTGCAGGCCATCCAATCCACTGAGGCAATCGGACCATCTTTTAAGTTAATGTGACGCTGCTGACATGTGTCACGCGCCTTCATTTCACATTTTCTGTGAATTTTCCTATACGTGATTGCAGAGCTAAAGTCTCAATTCATGCAGGACTAAAAATATGCTGTTGTGTGTATGTTTTCAGTCAAACAGAAATAGTAATTTAAACTATATTAAAAAATATCAAATGATAACAAATATATCACATTAAAAAAACTGTTATTGGATTAATACTCAAAAAAGAAACAATTTTACATTTTGTGGTACTAGATTGTCAATGTAAAAATTGGTTATTGAAGCAAATAATTAAAATGCAACTTCAAGCAAATGTAATTTCAATATTAACACTGATTTAAAAAAAATAATTTTACAACTATACTGTATTAATGTTCAATAAACATGTCACAGCTGGTTTTATCACCCACAAAGCCATTGATAAGTCACAACAATGTAATAAACAACAGTGTAACCAACAAACGGTACCTTTTGAGCCCCTCAGAACCAACTGAACAATGTTTAAACCCCACAGCCTTCCTGAATATTGTCTGTGTTTATCCCTTTTTGACCACAGTCTACCCATCTTCTGATGGCTGCTTGCAGTTGGATAATGTTCCATGTCACAAAGCTCATCTCAAACGGGTCTCTTGAACATGACAAAGAATCCACTGTCCTCAAAATGCCTCCAGAGTCTCTAGATCTAATCTAATAGTGAGCTGCATTGGGATGTGGTGAAACAAAGATTTGCTGGATGGTTGTGCAGTTGACAAATCTGGAGCAACTGTGTGATGCTATTATATCAATATGGACCAGAATCTCAGAGCAATGTTTTCTGTCACCTTGTTGAATATGAAGAATTAGGGCAGTTCTCGAGGCAAACCCAGTCCAACTGGATTGGGGTTGGCCTGGATTAGGCTGAAGTGGAGTCCAACTCAGGTGCACCTATTAAAGTGGCCAATTAGTGTATATGTAAATAACCTATTTGGTTACATCACATTAGCAAACAGATTTCAAAACCTAACCCAGTCAAATTTCTAACTAATTAAATGTAATCGCTATTTACTGGTTAATAGTTGTATTAGTTGTATTGTCTTTTTCATGTTCTCACGCTTGGAATCAACTCAAGGGTAGGCTTTAAATTTTAAACTATTTAAACTCTCCATCACACCACTGATCAGAGATTTTCTGCTTCCTAAAATAATTTAATCTATTTCCACAATGAATTCAATTACTTTTTACAAAATCCTTTCTGTAATAAACTTGCAAGCTGTCCAATATATTCCCCATCTCTTACCCAGAGAAGGCTGAACCCCCCCCACACAAACAACCGAAAGACTGCTAAGAGTGAGCAGTATAAAAATAGATGGTTGGATGTGAGAGCACATGCTCAGTTTATCTGCATTACTTTCTCTGTGCTGTTCTGCTCACATCGTTAATACAGAGGCGAAACACACAGCCAGCGAAATGGGTCCCTGCTCTGCCTCCCCTCTCCTCTCAACATTAATCAATATCAGTTTTACATCTCCTTCATTCCCAGATAAAAGACAAGTCTCACTTTTTTTCTTCAGTCACTCATGCCCTCCTTATCCTTTGATCACACTAAGCAGTCTAACCCTCTCAGGACACTGATAATTCTGCAGCATGCCCCATGTGGTTTTTGCACAGCTGCCACAGGGACACTGTAAAGCTCCCCACCAGTGAAGAGGCAGCTCAAGTGTCATACTTTAACCTCAAACAAATTCTGTGAGACTCTCACTCCCTGTGAAGCAGAGCTGATAGGAAAGTTTAATACTAAAATGTCTGTAATGAGCGAGACAAGTGATAGAAGAACAGCTACTTAGTGTGAGATGCAGGTGCCTATACAACACTCACTCCTAGTATAGAGATAAATTTAACGATGTCAATGTGGGTATTTTCAGAGCTATTAATTTAGCTTCTGCAGCAACTGAAGGCTAAAAATATTTAAAGTGCATAATCATTGAGAGTACAAATAATCATTAAAGATCATCATTGGTTTTAACGTTTTATTGGTAGATAACAGTCATTATATGCTTGCTTCGTTTGCTCTTTTTCCTTGTCTCATTGTGAAACACTTCCTCTTATAACAGTTTTCCCCATTTATAGTTTTGGTTTCATTGATTGAATCCATCTTGCAGATAAGACACACATTTACATTTTGAAGCAGAGCATCTTTATTTTTAAGGATTAAACTGGAGATTCT